AAATCAGCTACTCGACGGCACGAATCCCGCTGGACTTCCAGGCCGTTCGGGAGTATCGTTCTTTCAGTACTTTATTCCTGCGGGTGAATTTGTGTCTTTTATGCAATGTGAATATTGAAATGTAATTCATGCAGCATTTGGCTGGATGTGCTGGAATCTGAGCGGTAATTTCACGAAATGTGCGCTCAGACCCCAGCTATCTACCGAACGGTCATTCGGTAATATAGCATGAATAATGTTAAAGTTGTATATTTTTATGTGAAAAGCCAGTTCTGCTGCACGGAGGGATAATCCACTTAACAGGATATTCTAGTGGGAGTATCCCTCTTGTGCAACAGTGCATGGTGGGAGAAATATCTTGGTTGTTAAGTTCCCCATGTAGTCCCCTACTGTACAACACCTGTAAAGTCAGTAGGTCAACCCCTTGCATGGGGAACCACATAAATACTGTGACCTGTGATTAAAAACTCAGTTGACTCCCAGCCTATGTGTCGTCTAGTTCTTGGGAAGGAAGGATTTATTTAACGCTACCTGGATTATTGTATGCTGTATTTATTTTGCCTGGATTATTGTAAGCTGTTCCTGTTTACCAGCGGAGATATTGTGGATGATACTACCTCTCCGCTACATGTTCCATCTTAGCAGGCATTCACTTTAAGCCGATAGATCCGCCTCCCTGGGTTTTTGTCCTTTCTGGAATTGTAAACTCTTTTACATCTCATGAAATCGGCTTCAAGTAGAGATTGTAGCTGTATTAGTCCAGTGATGTAGATGTAAAAAACAGAAAAAATTATTATCTTGTAATACCTTTTTTATTGGACTAACAGAATTTTTTAATGACAAGCTTTCAGGATATTCAATTTTTTAATGACAAGCTGCTTGATATTCAAAATTAAACTAGTGGCACTCCAACCCTACCATAACATCTGGGCTTGCTAGTCCCTATCACAATGACCTCTAATGTTTATTGAGTCCAGCTTGCTCCCTAATTGTGAACAACATTTCCTGAATCCAGGGCTCCCTATCTCCCTTCCCTTGCCCCTAATTGTTTTCTGTTGTTTTCTTCTCTTGATTTTGTTGGTATGGCTTTATCAAATTGTATTTAATGGTGCATGTATCAGATTGTTAATCTTGGATCACTGTTTGCATGTGTGACCTGCCATCTGCTTAAATAAACTCTTAAAAAGGGAAAATCAAGTCCAGTATTTGCTAAACTGAGTCCTCGTGGGTCCCAAAGAATCTAGACAGGTTACTATCACTAATGGAGTGGAACTGGTAAATTTCTAGCTCCTGAACTGTGTGAAAGCTGGGTTTATAGTCTTTAGTCTACCTTGCAATAATAAGACCATTACTGTATTACCCATTGGTATATCAAGGATATAAGTAGCATTGACACTAGCAGACATATACCAGCACTGCCAGGCCTCTCCAAATAGATACTAGGCATGTGCATGGGGAAAATCTTCGGTTCATTTTGGCGTTCCAAAATTGGGCACTTTAACACTTCGGAACTTCAGCACTGCGACACTTCGGAACTTTGGAATTTCGGAACTTCGGCATTTCGGGACTTCGGGACTTCTCTTGCAGCCGCTTAGTAGATAACTCCCTAATTCCCACGGGATTAGGGAGTTATCTGCCAAAAGGCTGAAAGACCTAAATTGGTCTTTCAGCCAAATTTATTAACACTAACTAAAAATTACTTAGTATTAGTAAATTTTGCCCCTACTCGCTATACCGTGAGTAGGGGCATGTCTATTAAACGGGCTTCTCACTGTTAAAAAAAAATAATAACCTATTGCCACCCCGGCCCCAACCCCTGAGCAGCGGGTGGGGGCCCTAAAGTAAAATGATGGGGGGGACCCAATGTCCTTCCCCCTGGCCCCCACCCATGAGTGGTGGGTGGGGGCCCTAAATTGGAATAAGCGTGGGACCTAATGTCCTCCCCCCTGGCCCCCACCCATGAGCAGCGGGTGGGGGCCCTAAATTGGAATAAGGGGGGGGACCTAATGTCCTCCCCTGTCCCCCACCCTTGAGCGGTGGGTGGGGGCCCTAAATAAAAATGTTACCCCCCCAGGTGACTAGGGGTGCCTAAACCCCTAGTCACACCCCCCCCACAAAAAATAACCCCTACCTACCCACCTCACCCTAAAAAAAATACTTTAACTAAGTACCTGTAAAAAAAATAAAACTTACCATTTGATGTTACCATTTGTCAGTTATTATGGATTTTTTATTTGGCCTTTTTTGGGGCTGAAAAAAAAAGATTTTAGAAGAAAGAAAACGTTGAATGGTAAGTTTTATTTTTTTTACAGGTATTTAGTTAAAGGTCCCCCCTCATTATTTTTGGATGAGGAGGGTTGGTAGGGGTTAATTTTTTGGGGGAGGAGGGGGTGACTAGGGATGGGGGCCGGGGGGAGCACAATAGATCCCCCCCTTATTCTAATTTAGGGCACCCACCCACCTCTCAGGGATGGGGGCCGGGGGGAGCACAATAGATCCCCCCCTTATTCTAATTTAGGGCCACCACCCACCGCTCAGGGGTGGGGGCCAGAGGGGAGGACATTAGGTCCCCCCCTTATTAGTATTTAGGGCCCCACCCGCTGCTCAGGGGTGGGGGCCAGGGGGTAGGACATTAGGTTCCCCCCCTTATTAGTAATTAGGGCCCCCACCCACTGCTCAGGGGTGTGGGGCAGGGGGGAGGACATTAGGTCTCCCCCTTAATCCAATTTAGGGCCGCTCAGGCTGCTCACTGTTTAATAGACATGCCCCTACTCACAGTAGGGGCATAATTTACTAATACTAAGTAATCTTTACTTAGTATTAGTAAATTTGGCTGAAATACCAATTTAGGACTTTCAGTCTTTTAGTAGATAGCTCCCTAATACTGTGGAAATTAGGGAGTTATCTACTTATTCATTCCTGTCATTACTGTCATTATATGAATGTATGTTACTTGATTGTTTTAAGAGTTGCAAATGCTTACAGCTGAATCCTGGCTGTTTGTAGACTTTTTATTTAAAATTGTATACAGTGTAACATTCTTCATTCTTCCACTGGGTAAGTATATTAGTTCTTAGGCAATACTGTGCTTCGGCACTTCTGCACTTCGGCACTTCGACACTTTGGAACTTCAGAACTTCGGCACTTCAGCACTTTGGAACTTTGGCACTTCGGCAATTCAACACTTCGAAAATTCGGTAATTTCAGAATTTCGGGACTTCAACCATTCGGCAATTCGGCAATTCATCTATTCGAACATTCGGAAGTACCCGAATGCCCGAATTGCACATGTCTAATAGATACATTTCTTAATGGGACAAGTGCAATAAAATCATGACATTTGGAGTGATAAATTTGTGTTTTAAAAGCAATGTCTGGAGTTCTGTCAGTTCTAAATATAATGTATAGAGACGTTGACTTAGGGTTCAGGAGAGGAAATAGGGCAGAGATTGGGACAGGTATATGCTACTTATGTGTGAACAATATCCATACATGACAGCAACAGCAATGCTTTATCCTACATGTCCTCCTTTTCACGCACATAGGAAACAACGTGAGAATAACAGTTGCAGCATGTAGTGCCTATACCATTGTTTACCAAACCAGTTCTCAAGGAACTCCAACAGTTCTGGGTATATCAATTCACAGTTTTGCAACAGAATTGAGAAATCAATAAAAATTCTAGACTTTTATTTTTGAGAAATGGGTTAAGTATCTGGAGATTTTGCTCATAGAGGTCATTTGAGTTTAAATCTTACAGAGGTCAGAGACAATCTACATCTATAACAAATGCTTGCCGATGCTACTTCATGTTAATACTGCCAAATTGCTAATCCTCTTGCAATAAAAACAGACTTCAGCCCCAAGGGCACTCTACTTAGCCACACTCTCATATAAACACACAGAATGTGATAGCAGATAAGAACCATTCGACCCATCTAGTCTTCACAATTTTTTAAAATACTTTCATTAGTCCCTGGCCTTATTTTCTAGCTAGGATAGCCTTATGCCTATCCCACGCATGCGTAAACTCCTTTACTGTGTTAACCTCTACCACTTCATCTGGAAGGCTATTCCATGCATCCACTACCCTCTCAGTAAAGTAATACTTCCTGATATTATTTTTTTTTTTTCCACTTTTTTTTTTTTTTTTTTTTTTTATTTTTGTTGTGAATGTTTTAACAATGAGCCTGTGTTGCCACAACAGCAGTCACACGCATAATCGTACATTTTCGAACTTGGCAAGAAGAATGTCTGCACAATTTTATATATTATAAAACAGAAATGATAGGCATAGCGTGGTTATGTGAGTATACATCATAGAAACATGTTTGGTCAATATATGCCTAGGGCCCTGGCCTGCTAACAATAGAAGGAGCAAGTGGTGGTCGCATAACGGCTAGCACATTGCAAAATATAAGATATTAAAGTGTTAGAGATTAGTGTTGTTCTGCTACCTAATGAGACCACCAGTAGCTTTCCTCAGAACATGTTACTGAACCATTATAGCGAGATACATGCCAGGGCAAACTAAGCATCTAGATACATCAGCACATTTTTAAAAGAATAGTCAAATGTTTAACTTGAAGCGCAGAGTAAGGTAAACTTTGAGACAAGCATTTTAAGGGCTGTATACACCCAGATTAGTCTAGTTAGGGTAGACAGTGATAAAGTAGTAGAATGAGAGGTACATATCAGTGACTACAACATTAAGTGCAAGTGTAAGTATGCTAAGTTAGCTGGCATTTGAGTTAGACACAATCATAGGGATAAATTCAAAACAATATATAGCTGAGTTACTCAGTAATCTGGCTATTCATTCTCAGTTTTTAGTATGTGAGTGTGTGTGGTCACGCTTGAATGTGTCGTCAGCCGTGTCTATGTATGTGTCCCTCAAGATTTCCCTGACTGGTGTGTATCTATGTCCAGTTGTTGGTTTGTTGGGTATGAGTGGGTGAGGCTCGCTACAGCTGCAGGGTAACAGGAGCGTGTGTGATGGGTCAGCCATTTTGCGTGTGGTACATCTCCCTTAAGGGGGTTACTGTCCCAATGTCTGCATGTCTGTCCTGCCGTCGAGGTCGTCAGCCGATGCCTTGAGGGGTCCTTGCGGCGTCTCGGTGCAGCAGGGAGGCTTCAGTGCTGGGTGCAGGTTCGCCTGGAGAGCTGTGAAGCTTCCCGGTTGAGATTTGTGTGGGTCGGAGTAGACGCTGGCTGCTGCCGGTTCGTGGTGGTGGTGTAGCAATCTCAGCCGGGTTAGGCTTTATTTTCCGCTTTCTGCTTGGGCTGCCTGGGTGTGTTTTGCCCCTCTTGTGTCTGCGCTGTGTTGCTGCCTTTCGGCTGGGCTGTCTGTGTTGCTGTGTCCCAGGAATCTCCTTAGCTTGATCAGTTTTGTGCAGGCTGTGTCTGGTCGCAGTGCAGCTCCGTTTCACTGCTGTTGGGCCGCGCCTGTTCCGGTGTGTACTGGTTGTGAGAGTGGGATTTGCCCCCTCTCTCTCTTCGACTTTGCGCATTGGGCCCTGTAGCCTACCGTCAGGTGAGTGTTCCGGTCTTGAGGGCTGCAGTAGGGCCTCCAGCTTCTCCCAGACTGCCCTGAATAAGCGGTCGTATCGGAGCTCCGTTTCCCTCCTGATCTCGCACATGGTGGTGGTGTGTTGGCCGACCGCCATATTGCGTACTCCGCTAGAGGCCTCCGGACTCCGTGGTCCTGTTGCTTGGGTATGGCTTGTCCGGCTGATCGTGTGAGGGAGGACCGGTCCAGAGGGGGGGGGATGAGGGCTCTGTGTCTGCTTTCCCTTTGTTCTCGGCAGCAGGAGAGCAGCCGCCTCTCCCGCGCCTGCCACACTAGTAGGCCTCATCGGTGCAGCGGGTGTAGATCGGGTCGGTTGTCGCTTGTGGGGTATCATTCTGTCTGCCCCGACTTCCCCGTCACTTGGTGGCTCTAGTTTGGCATTTTGGTGTCTTTTTAGTAGCTTTATGTCGCTTTTGCAGGTGTTGGTCGCCGGAGCTGTTGAGGGTAGCTGCCGCTCAGCTCTGCGGTCCGGCCCCGCCCCCCCTGATATTATTTTTAAACCTTTGCCCCTCTAATTTAAGACTCTTGTGGTAGTTTTTCTTATTTTAATTATAGTCTCCTCCTTTGCTGTGTTGATTCCCTTGATGTATTTAAATGCTTCCAACTTATCCCCCCATCTTGTCTTTCCTCCGAGAGAGAGAGAGGCTAAGTAGAGTTAAAAAAGGTCCTCATTATGGAGAAGGCGGAAAAAATCATCAACCTTGAAATACAATTTGTTTAAAATGTTTAAAAAATGTGTATTCTGTGCAATTCTTACTATTGAGTCATAAACTAGCTACACCCATACAGCTTTCCAATCCAGTGGTCTCTGAGCTTTTCTGGTTGCATGCCACATGAACTATAGAACAAATATGTATGTGTGTGAGAGAGAGAGAGAGAACTTTCCATTCCTGGATCTCGCTTCTAAAATATTTTTGTGAAATAAC